GGGGGTAACTTGCTTTAATTGGGTATGGCTTGATAGTTCCAGGAGACCTCTCCATGTATTTCCTGAACCAAATCCTAAACCTATTGAGAGAAGCAGATGGTGGGGGTTGAAAAGCTCAGTCTAGGCTCCTTTTGTTGGCTTTTGGGGTTTGTTTTACCCAGGTAGTTGGTTGGGAAGGTGGTCCAGGGCTCCTTTTTCAGCCTCAGTCTCTTGTGGCAGTTATGGTTCCTTGGTTTTTGATCCTCGACCCAGCTCAGCTGCTCATGGTTTCTGAATTTTTGTTTAGCACAGTGGTTATATTCAAGAAATACCCAAAATTGTGGAATATCCTGAGCTGGAAGAGTCACTGATCCAACACAGACACCCCAACAGTCCCACCCTGTGCATCCCTGAGAGCTTTGTCCAAACACTCGTGGAGTTTTGGCAGGATGGAGGTCAAGACCATTCCCTGGGTGGCCTGGTCAGTGCCCCAGCACCCTCTGGGGGAAGAACCTTTTCCTTTTTTTTTGATTTTGATTTTCTTTTATGGAAATGCTGCAAAAAAACATTTAAAAATTAGTTTATTTAAATAAAAATTGCCAGTAGCAAACCAGAAGACCACTATTTGGCCATCTGTTTGAACGGAGAGAATTTTTGAACGCGTTTCCCTGAAGAGGAGCCAGGTTCTTGGCACTGAGGGGAAAAAAAGGGAGAGAATGTGCATGTGTGAGACAACTGGCTGCTGTTGTCAAAGGCACATGTCACTGGGAATATAAAATACAGGCTTTCAGAGCTGCCTCAGTCCTCCCTTCTGTCTTGCCTTGCCACAGTAGACATTCAGCTGCTGCCTGCGCTTGTCGTGTGGCCAGCCCCCCGAATTTATCCTTCTCATATGGCTAAATAACTTCATCCCCGTGGCAATTTGCTTGAATAAAGAGCCTGGTGAGCGCAGTGGAGCCTGGGGATATGGCAGAAAAATCAGCGGCTGCTCCGGTGAGCAATTACGCGCTGGAACGGCTCTCGGCGAGAGCAGGGGGCGGCCAGCCTGTCAGAGCCTGGATTAAAGCCTTCATCCCCAGAATTCCCCGTGTAATTCCCAGCTTTTGTAACGGAGAGCACCTCTGATTACAAATGTGTGCAGTGTTTAAAATTAATTCCGATTTTTGCTGGTTAATTTCTGCACCGCCGCTGATGCCGTGCGCTCACCTATGGAGTGTCGTGCATGACAATGAGATCAGGAAGCTGTGGCTGATCCCCCCTATTCCAATTTGTGCTGGGTCTTCAGCCAGGGTTGTAAATTGCTGATGCACAGAATTTATTTAGCTTTATCAAGCTTTATGTTGGTCAAAGCCTGTATTTACGTGGGGCATCTTACAGCAGGAGTGTGGCCAGATGCACCTGGGAGAACGGGGGTGGTTTGTGGGCTGCTTCACGAGTTTGGGCACAGGGAGCAGTATTTGTCACCTGTAAAAGTTCTGTGCTCATCTGGCAATGAGTCTATGTGAATGGATACTGTTCTAGTCCTGGAAAACTGGGAATAACTGCCCTGAAGTGCCTGTGGTGCCTCAGCCTTTGGCCGCCAGCCGTCCCCTCCCTGTGGCCTGGCAGGTACATCTGGGAGCTGAGGGGCTCCCTCATTAAAAAGCTGCGTGTGTCATAATCCTGATGGGACCAGAGCAAAGCCAGCCACCTCCCCTGGGAGTGCTGCTGTGGGTTTTGAGCTTGTTCTTTATGTTATGAAGGTCATTTCTTTGTTCTCAGTGCCGTTGGTTTAAACAGCAATTCCTGGCTCCGTCACAAATGCAGATATTTAGGAAAATAGGGGGTATTTTGGAGCTGTGGGAGAGTGTTTGGCTTTCTCGTGGGTTGCTGTAGTCCAATATTTGAACTGGCTGATCTCTGTGATTCCTCTTTGCCTGTGATGCTTTACAAACTCCTAGATGTATTTTTTAAAAAATAATGAACGTGCTGCTGTCCCAGCTGAACCACCCCAAAATCGCTGCCCTTGCCCATGCTGCTCATGGCTCTCATCAAGGCTTATCAAACCAAAGGCAGAAGCAGTTTAGTGTTTGCCTTAATCCTACAACCACAGATACCTGCAGGGTACAGCCTTGCTCTCTATTTTCTTCGCTGTTTATGCTTTTGTTTGTGTAAATTCTTGATATTGAGGTAGGTTTTCTTAATCTCTGTCCTGTGCAGCACCTAATATTGTGGTGTGCTCATGATAAGGGCTCTTTAATGGTGTAGAAGCACAAGTTATTAGGGATGAATCCCACTGTGAGCTGAGATTTGCATAAAATAATTCTTACTCGAGGGATGAGCGTGAGTTTGCTGTTTCATTTCTGAGCCTTCAGATTTGTTTTGAAATATTCAGTACAGCTTGGAAATGCAGGGCATTCTTAGAAACAGTTTGGTTGGAGGGGTGTTAAATTCCAACTATTTGTCATGAAACACTTAAATCCAAGCAAAAATCAAGGATTCTGAGGATGTGCCTATTCCAGCTAATGAGCACGTCCTGCTTGTAAGGGTGAAGAAGGCACTTGAGCAGATCTGAGCTGTCTGTGGCTGTTGGCTGCAGCAGGGTGACAGCCCTCGGTGAAGTGGGACAGCACATCAGGATCTGAATTTAATACTGGAAATAACAATAATTGCACTGAGCTCCATGCCCAGTGTTTTTGGGGAAGGCAAGGAGCAGGTCCCCAAGGTGATCATTTAGTGCGGATTCAAATAGGAAAAGAGCTGCTGGCTAACTTGCACTGTATTTATTAAATTTAATACCCATTTCCATGCTCCTCTCAACAGTCAAATCATGAAGAGCAAATCTCTTAGGGCTCATGTCTGTAAGCTGGGTATGTACACTCAAATATTTTTTTTTTTTAATTTTTTAACTCTCTCCTTAAGCTTTTTAATCCACTGTCTGTACCTTCTTTGTACCTCTGAGGACTCTCTGAAGGTACAGTGAGACTGGCAGGGCATCCTATTGACCATGGGAATAATGAGTTGGCTTCTAAATGCATTTGGTGTGTGGTATTTTAGAATTAGCTGGGGCAACTTGCCGTGTTTAAAAAAAAAAGGCAATGGCAATTAGGCAGAACTTTGCCTCTCTGATCAGGCATATACTGTATTTCCATTGTTACTTACAGCTTTAGAAGCCCTCTCTGGAGGACTCTATATTAAGTAGTTCATCTTAGTTAACACTTCATTGGCAAGTCTGTGCAATTAATCGACAGTATATAGAAATAATGGCCTGATTAATAGAAAGAGGACTGAGACTGTTTTCTTTACAAGTTTTACACTTGTTTGGGATTCTTCTTTTCAGGTTCAGTAATGATAGATATTTATCTGCCACTTGATCTGTGAAGGCAGGATTGAAATCCACTTCGTGAGTGAAATAATGAAAATCCATACGTGATTCTTCTGCTCCTTCTGTGCCATTAAACAACCAGAAATGTGATAGTCTTAATTGTTGCATGTTTAATACTGCTAATAGGATAAATTTATAAAGAAAAGATTTTTAAAAAAACAAACAAAAAAACCCCATCACAAACCCACAAAACCTCTCGTTCTTACATCTTTTATGACACACAATGTGTTTAAACACGCTTAAATGTTGCACAGAGCTGAGCTGTGGAGGAATCTTGGTTTGAAAGCTGCTGTTGTGGTTGGGCTGGGGGGGGGAATGGTGGGTCTAAGCCAGTGTGGGGTTCCCCCAAGGGAGCAGTTTTTGTGCAGATTGTTGTGTTTTGAGGATCAGCATTAGCCTGGGAGTGCTGACTTACTTGCTTAGGGAGCTTGTCTGGAGAGCAAGGCAGAGCTGTTGGCTCTCTGCCATTAGTTTTGGTAGAATGACATGTTTTCAAGCTGGGAAATAAGAGTTCAAATCAGAACTAATTCCAGTTTTTAAAAATAGGAAGAAGAGAGAAGTTTGGGGTGTGTTAATAGCTGTGTTTTATCTCAGCGTGGTAAGCTCAGCTGTGAGGGTGGATGATGCTAAGCTGGAGGCCCTGGGGGTTTTGGGGCTTAGGTGGGGAGATAAGAGTGGGTTTGCTCCAGGAGAGGAGCCTAAATGCCTCCCCAGTGCTTAGGCCAAGCTTGCTAATCCTGGCTTAGGCTCCATCACACCAGAAGCCCTAAATGGGATTTGTCATTTTTGAGAGAGGCAGCAGAGTGCCCAAAATATGCTTTTAGCCCCAAAAGAAGCAATCCCAGCCCTGCCTTAGGGTGGTGGCTGAGTCCCTGTGAGCCAGGGGACAGGAGATGACAGAGCAGCTGCTCCAGCTGCTGGGGTTGGAGCCTCTTTGGTGCTCCCAGGCACCCCTTGTTCTTCATTCCCTGGAAATCCAGGATCAGGGATAGGATGTGGCTGGAGGCTGTGGCTGCACTCTCTTTAGCCAGATGTCCAGAGCAGGTGTGGGATTCATCCTGACCCAGCAGCACAGGGTTCTCTGCTAGTTTAACACATCTCTCCAGAGGTAGCACCATTGTAGCTTTTTTGTCTAACATGTGTGTGGTACCTTCCCCTAACTGTGGTGTGTGAGTGTAGAGCTCTCATCCCCATAACATCCCACGTGTGCTCTGAGAACTGGGCTTCCCTTGAGGAAATGCTGGATGGCACAAGAAACTGGTTTTGGTGACAAACAAGACACAATGCTGTTTGTGTGCACTTTGCCTTTCTTAGAGACACTTCTCTCACAATTATTAATAACAAAGGTGACACATACAGGGCTTTAACTGTATGTAACAACCCAAGGACACCTAATGTGGGTTGTAATGCAATTCCTGCCTTTTTCCTACATTATCCTTAACATACATATATATATATATATATATATATATATATATGTAAAAGGCAAGTACATGCCTTAACTTTAGGTAATTCCCATGTATGTGCATATAAACTTCAGTAATATTCCAGTTGTTGGTTAATTTGAAAAGACCTTTTTTTTTTCCACAAGCGAAGCCTTTTTCTGTTGTGTGTTTTGTACTTTTGCTCTCTGTAACGTGCTGCTTTTATGTGGCAGGTGGGAGATTCAAGAAGGAGATAGTGGTTGATGGACAGAGCTACCTGCTGCTGATCAGAGATGAAGGAGGCCCTCCAGAGGCACAGGTGAGCCCAAAGCCTTGCTTTCCTTGTTTTTCAAAAGTTCCTTTGAGAGAACTGGCTATGCTTTGTTCTGTCCTGGCTCCTTCTCACCTTTCTGCCAGCAGAATTCCAGCATCACCCTCAGGTGAAAAACATTTTGTCCAGCAAATGGTTGGGATTTCAGGTATGATGGATGGATGAGCGTGTGTAGCAGATATTTGGGATTCTGACTGACACTCTGCAAGTCAGGATATACAGCTCATATATACTGAATTCTCAAGCAATGTGACACATCAGGATTTCATAGAATCACAGAATGGTTTTGGTGGGAAGGGACCTTAAAGCTCATCTCACTGCCACCCCCTCCCATGGGCAGGGACACTTTCCTCTATCCCAGGGTGTTCCAAGTCCCCACGTCCAACCTGGCCTTGGACACTTCCAGGGATCTGGGCATCCTGTGCCAGAGCTTCCCACCTTCACAGGGAGGAATTCCTTCCCAGTGTTCCATGTAACCCTGCCCTGTGGCAGTGGGAAACCATTGCCTGTGTCCTGTGCTGCCCTAGGCCCTTGTTCCAAGTCCCTCTTGAAGCCCCCTCTGGAAGGGGCTCCGAGGTCTCCCTGGAGCCTTCTTTTCTCCAGGTTGAACACCCCCAGCTCTCCCAGCCTGTCCAAGCCACTGGCTGTGGAGGAGACGCTTGAGGGTTTGAGTGCTTGACCTGTACTCTGTTTTGAGCAAGTTTGCTCATGTGCTGCTTAAATCACCTCAGACCCATCTGTGCTTTCTGCAGGCAGCATCCTTGTCTTGGGCATCCTCCTCCTCCTCTATCTCTCCTCACCTGGGCACGGGCAGGATTTCCTGAGTGTTGGCTGCTGCTGGCCTTGCTTTGCCCAGCTCTTCCGGGAGGGATCAGCTTCCAAACAAGCAATAATTTAGCATCAGGAACTGCACTGTGGCCAAACAGCTGAGGGGGAGCAGTGCCAGCAGCAGCAGCTTGGGTTTCAATGCAGCACCACAGCTCCAGGAGGGTGAGAGCGTGGGGGAAGGTGCCAGGACAAAAGGGGAAGAGAAAGGACGTGGAGGAAATGGAGGCTGAGAGAGACATCCTGGAAGGAAGTCACAGGACAAAATAAAGCCTTGGCACATCTGCAGCCGTGTCAGCAGGAGCAACAAGGAAAGCTCTGTCTGGGGCTGGGAGGGATTTGGCTGAAACAGTCCCTGGTTTCCAGCCTCTGATGCTTAGAGAACATTCACTCATCTAAAAATGTAAATAGTGGAGGTGTAAAGGTACATGCAGCAATCTGAGATGGCTTTGTGCCTGGAGAACCGGGTTTGTGGAGCTCACAGGAGCTGCCTGCAGACTGATGAACAGCATGGGGTGTGCTCCTGGGATGTGCCAGGTAAATCTGGGGCTTTGGCTGCTGCTGTCCAGTGGAAGGTGTCCATGCCCATGGCAGGGGTTTGGTTTGAGATGAGATTTAAGGTCCCTTCCAACCCAGACCATTCTGGGATTCTGTAGTGGCTCAGATTTGTTCTCCATCCTCATGATTTGCTGAAGGGGTCTGAGGCTTCAGTGCTGTCTCACCTTTCAGCATGAGGCTTTCCTGTAAATTCCTTATGGAGTTTTTGGGTGTAATTTCAAGTTACATGTCTATTAAAAATCTTCAATCTGTTCATTAATTCCTGCAATGAAAAGTTTGCTTGTGTGTTCATGAATAAATGGGATTGAATTCCAACTGCAATAAGGAGCTGACATGTGGAGTTCTGGCACTGGGTCATGGGTATTCCCCAGGCTACTATCCCCTTCTTTTTGGCAAGAAGGGAGAAAAAACAAACTTCCCTGAAGACTCATTTTGTGGGTCTGTGATCTCTCTTTTCTTTGCCTAAGATAAAATGGTTCAAAGATGAAAATAATTCAATTTCCTGTAAAACCAAATTAACCTAGTGACTGACCTACAATGAGCTGCTCTGTGTAACTTTCTGAATTTAAAACTCTTTTTACAATTTGGTTTTGGGCTTGCCTTGAACTAACAGCTCTGCCCACTCACAGTAATGTCTGAGAATTGGTTTCTATACCAGCAGCTGATTTGTCCTTGTTTCAAGCCATTTCCTGCACAGTACTCTGGATGAGGCATCCAGTGTTTCCAGACCTTGTGTTTCCCAAAATTCCTTTGGGTTTTTTTTTACCATAGGTCTGATGTCCACAAAGATTAAGCTGCATTTCAGTATGAAAAGAGAAATAGGGAATTGCTGGATATGTTTGTGTCTGCAGGAACTGCTCTGTGTAAATCTGTTGAGTGTTTTAAAATAATCCTTATTAGAAAGCTGCTGTACGCACTGCTCAAACATTCAGAGGGTTTGGAGAGACTGTTGGCTTCCAAATGGATGCCTTAAGGACATTGCTAGTTGTTGGGAAGAGTCTTTGGCATGATGCTGCTAAGTCCAGTCAACAAAAACCATTTTATAATGAGACCCAAGCCCACATCTCCCAAATAATGATGCTGTCGCCAGTTCCTGTGGTTTCATCTTCTGGTTTGAACAGTTTAACAGTGTGGTGGTTGACCTGATTCTGGCAGTGACTCTGCTGTGTGTTAACCAGTCCTGTCCTTCCCCTCTGGAAGATTTTCCTCCTGACTTGAAAACCTCAGAACAATTTTTTGTCTATTTTTACACCATAACAGCCCAGGCAGTGTTTGGTTTCAATACAATCATCATGAATATGCAGAGCTTTTCCCCAGTGAAACTCTCTGTTCAGTGTGTCCCCTGGCATGTTGTAGTAATAATATAACAAAGCATGAAAAAAATCCCCTGGCTGAAGCTTGTTTCCATTGCTCTAAATTTGGGTAGGAATGGAGTCACTTAGGGAAAAATAAAGGCAGCGAGGTAAGCTGGAGTTTTTTTCTTGATGTCCTGTTCATGTTCATTGTTAAGTTAAATGTCTTAATTCACTTGTGAGTTAAAAGCTTCTCACTTGCATGGTCACTGAGGAGCACCTTGCCTTGGCCTGTGCACCTGCATGTCTCTCAGCAGGTTCCTGATACCAAGAGAGCAGTTTGCTCTTCCACTGAAAGCGGAACGAGGCACTTGGTGCTGCTGGCTCAGCTGAGAGTGTCTGTACGGTGAAGAATTGGAAGGCTCAAATTAATGAGATTAAGAAGTGAGAATTCCTAGCAATGCCTGTCCTGGCATTACCAGCAGCATCAGCATGCGTGCATGCAGATGGCAGCATGGGGGCTCAGTCAGCACTGCAGATGAGTGCTGCTCACTTCAAATGCACAGACCCAGCAATCCCAGCCTGCTGTGTTTTCTGGGAATCAAGCCCAGTGTGTACTGACAGTGTTTGGTTACACAGCCCAGTGAAGAAGGGGTGCTCTTGTGGGAACGTCCCTTGTGTATCCCAGATCCCCATGGCTTGCAGGGTGATGAGATTCATATTTTAGCAGCCCTGTTGAGGCCGTGGTTGTGTGTGAGTTTGTCTGGTGTGTATTTCCCTTGCAGGAAGGTAAGAGCATTTCTCTCTTGGTTTTCCTTCCTTCCCCCTCCTCGCTGCTCTTCTCACAGTTGGCCTTTTCCATTTTTGTCCTGCAGTTTGCCATGTGGGTAGATGCTGTTATCTTTGTGTTCAGCTTGGAGGATGAAGTCAGCTTCCAGACTGTGTACCACTACTACAGCCGCATGGCCAGCTATCGAAACACTAGTGAGATCCCCATGGTCCTGGTGGGCACCCAGGGTAAGTGCAGCCCTGATTCCAGCTGGGGCTTTGAGACCATATTGACTCCTCCAGGCTGGCAAAGCCATGTCCTGTCCTTTCCCCTTTGCTGCAGGGCTGTGGCATTGCAAATACAGTATTTGAGGTGAGAGAAAAATGTCCTGGCAACTTGCTTGGAGAGGGAGTGTAGGACTTCAGCAGTGAAGAAAGAGGGGAAGTTTAGGTCAGATATGTACAAGAAATTCTTCCCTGTGAGGGTGGGAAAGCCCTGCAGAGAAGCTGTGGCTGCCCCTGGATCCCTGCAAGTGTCCAAGGCCAGCTTGGATGGGACTTGGAGCACCCTGAAATAGTGGAAGATGTCCCTGCTCATGGCACGGGGTGGAACACAGTGAGCTTTAAGGTCCCTTCCAACTCAGACCATTCCAGGATTCTATGTGACTTGCAAGGAAATTTTAAATAATACTTTCAGTGCATGCTGGTCGTGGTGGTTTACTTGCCCAGCAGGGAGACGCCCTCGTTGAATTTGGGCAGGTAAATCAGTTGTGTAGGGAAGTTCTGCAGCCAGGCCAGTTTCCATGTTCTTGGCAGTCTGGAAGGGCTCAGCACCCTGGCATTGCTGAGAGGCAAAAGGATGACAAAGATAGACCTCCAGCAGCATGACAGGAAGCAAGATGTGAACCCTGGCTTCAGGCTGTGCCTCTGGGAGACCTCTGTAAATCAAGTAGAAATACAGCTTTTTGCCAGCTGAGCCAACCTGTCACTCCAGTTTTTCCTTCTGAAATAGCAGCTGTCCTGAAGGGAAATGCTGCAAAGGAAAGGTACCCAAAATGTTTCCATTTCTTTGGCATTTGAGTGGTTTTTTGAATATTCTCTGCCTTGTTGTGCCAGCATAGCCCAGTAATGTTTCACCAGTTTCCCATACTGTGATTGGTTTGCTGCACTGGTGGAGCTGAGGTTGTTCTGTTCCTGACCATGGAATCATTAAGGTTGGGAAAAAACTTTTAAATCATTAAATCCAGCTGTTCCCTCAGCACTGCCAACACCAGCATTAAACCATGTCCCCAGATGCCACATCCACACAACTTTTACATCCTTCCAGGGATGGTGACTCCAGCACTGCCCTGGGCAGCTGTGCCAGGGCTGGACAACCCTTTGGGCACAGTTTGAGGCCATTTCTATTTACTCTGTCCCTTGTTCCTTGGGTACAGAGTTCACCTGGCTGCATCCTCCTGTCAGGAGTTGTGCAGAGCCAGAAGGTCCCCCCTGAGCCTCCTTTTCTCCAGGCTGAGCCCCACCAGGTTGCTGTTGTGTGGTAGAGGCAGAACACAGGTGTTGTGAATTGTCCTTGGTTCAATTTAGGGCATCCTTGTTAGTGTGTCCCAGTGGTTTTGGTGGTGGTGAGGCTTTTTGGTGTTTTTTCAGCCATGTGGTTAGGGAGCAATTGGCCTTCCCCTGCCTCCTGCCAATGGGTGACAGTGCAGAGGGGATGTGTGGGTAGCAGGGAAGGAGGAATCACAACCTAGCTAGAAGGAGGAAACAGATGATAAGAAGGAAAAGGGGAAGTAGGAAGAGAAAAAGTCTTAGGACAGCAGAAACTCCACCAAAAAGCAGAAAGGAGCTGCTTTGAAGGGCCATGTTTTGGGCTTGAAGCTGGAGTTGAAAAGATGAAGGGGAAACATTTATCCAACTTTTTTTTCCTTTGTGCCCTTCTGACCCCCTTCTGGGGTATGGTTTAGGGTATGGTTTTCCATCTCCTTCCTGTTACTTCCAGAAAAAGAAAAGTTGATTTTCTGTTGCACCACTGATGAAAAAGGGGATTTTTTGAAAAAAAAAAAAGAAATAATGCTATTTCTAGGAATAAACATCAGGAAAAAACACAGCTTTTTGTCTGTGTTTGACAGTGAAATAAATGTATGACATACATAAATACACTTGTTAAAATACATATTTGAAAGCTACCTTTCATATTATAGAATGCCAGAATGATTTTGGATGGAGACCACCCTAAAGCACGTTTAATTCCAACTCTCTGCCATGGGCACGGGCGTCTTCTACTAGCCCCGGCTGCTCCAACCTGTCCAACCTAGACTTCTTGGTTTTGTCAGGTAGTCCTGAAATGAGATGTGAAATGAAATGCTTCCCACAATATTAACACTGGCTTGCAGACGTTCTCCCCTGATTTCCAAAGCCAGCTCAGTGCCCCAGCCTGACCCACCTCGCAAGGAGGAGGCAAACTCTGGGGAGCAGTGGTGTTCTGGAACTGAACCCTAACAGCTCCTTTCTGGTTACATCTTACCGGCGCCCTCTGCTGATAAATAGCAGGCTCCTACTTTTCCTAATTGCTGCTTGATTTTTGTTAATTGGATCTGATGAGAAGGTAATGACAGCATCCGTGGAGGTCTGGTCCAGTCATGCCCAGGGCAGAGCCTCAGTGTTGCAAGAGGCGTTGATTCCATCTTTAGGTTCAGGTGATTCGGGTGATGCTTTTTTCCCAAAGAACAAATCTGTTTTGCTGCTGTGGGCAGTTACAGATTTTAAGGAAGGTTTTCTGGGCAGCTGTAAATGCTGAAATTAGTGCCTGTTGTAGAATTTCAGAATGGTTTGGATTGAAAGGGGCCTTGAAGATCATCCAGTGCCATGGGCAGGGACACCGTCCAGTCACTATCTCAGATTGTTCCAAGCCCCATCCAACCTGGCCTGGAACACTTCCAGGGATGGAGCGGAAGAGTAACACAGAACTCATGGGGAAAAACTTTCTTTTCAAGTTCTGCCAATGAGATTATCACTTCAAATAGTATCACCTTTGTATACAGAGTTCATCACTATGATGGAGAATCAAGAAAGAAGCTTCTCCTTCATCTATTCTGGTGTAAGGTTTTTTCAGTTCCTCTGGATAAGCTCTAGGAACTGAAATTTCTGATTTTCAGCTTTCATGAAAGAAGCTCTTGGAGAGAATTACCAAGTATGATTGCTTAGAAAAATACAAATTTTATCATCTTTGCAGTATGTTTCACATCATCTCTGCGTGCCATTACAGCAGTTTGAGAAAGTAATTTACAATTAAGTTCTATTTCTTGAAAATACATTATGTTTAATATTTCACACTCTGTAGTCACATATACTTACAGAGATCTAAAAACCATTTGACATGTTTGTACTAATCACCCACTTGTTTTCCTAAATATATTTTACATCAGAGATTGTGTTCTTTCATGGGATTATGTATTATTGTTGTTTTTTGGTGGTGTTTTTTTTTTTTTTTTTTTTTTTGTTTTTTTTTTTTTTTTTTTTTTTTTTTTTTTTTGTGGCAACAACTGAACTCAATACATGTATTTAAGGAAAGCAAAAACCCTTGGAGGTTTTCCCCCTGGCTTTTAGAATCAGTGTATTGGTAATTTTAATAAGGAAATGTAAATTAGAGTGATGTGCACCCTGTTTTGTTGTTTGTATTTAAACTCACTGCTTGGGGTATTGGTCAAGATGAGAGGAGCCGGCCTGAAGTTGCAGCAGGAGAGGTTCAGGTTGGATATTAGAGAAAATTTGCTCACAGAAAGGGTTGTCAAGCATTGGAGCCATTCCTGGAAGTGCTCAAAAACCACGTGGATGTGGCACTTGAGGACATGGGTTAGTGGTGACCATGGGGTGCCCTTACTCTGATCTTTTCCAACTTCCGCGCCCCTCCTGTGACTCTGAATCCCAAGCTGGTGTTTCCAAGTGACCATTGATGGGCGTTTTCCCCTGCAGATGCCATCAGCTCCACCAACCCCCGTGTCATCGATGATGCCAGAGCCAGGAAGTTGTCCAATGACCTCAAGAGATGTACTTACTACGAGACCTGCGCGACCTACGGGCTCAACGTGGAGAGAGTCTTCCATGACGGTACAGCTGCCTTTTTGCATCCAGCACATCACTCCATCTTCTAGCTGTCCTTTCTAAGGAATGACCCATCTGGGATAGCTCAGATGTTTGCCTGCTCAGTTAAAGAAAACACTGATTTTTAGGCATTTTTGTTTATTTTCTAAAATGGCTCCTTAACTTGAACACTTTGCACGTGCACTGATGTGTTATCCACCAGCACCCTTAGTCTTAAGCATCTTAAGGTATTTTTAGTCCTTATTTAATTTTCAGTTTTCTTTGGTTCTTGCTTTATTGTAGTAAAGTTTTCTTTGCTTTGGTTTTAGTGCTTGTGGAGAGGCTGGGGGGCTGTTGGTTGCAGAGTAGCTGAAAATGCTATATTTGAGTATCGTAACATTCATGGGGTGTTAAAAATTGAGAGCTAGGTTGGATATTGGGAAGGAATTGTTTCCTGGCAAGGTGGGCAGGCCCTGGCACAGGGTGCCCAGAGCAGCTGTGGCTGCCCCTGGATCCCTGGCAGTGCCCAAGGCCAGGTTCGACAGGGCTTGGAGCACCCTGGGCTGGTGGAAGGTGTCCCTGCCCATGGCAGGGGTAGGACAGGGTAAGCTTTAAGCTCCTTTCCAACCCAAAACATTCTGGGACTCTGAGAATCTTGTGTAGGGGTTTTGATCCTTGTGGGTCCCTCCCAGATCAGGATATTCTGTAATTCCATGATCCTGGAGTTGTATGAGATGGGATCTGTGCCCCCTCTAGTGGAATTGCAGTCAAGTGTCCTGGGGCTTAGCTGGCTTCTCTTCTCACCAGGCTCCTCTCAAGGCTGAACGTGTCAGCCCCTCATCACAGCAGTTTTCTGTGTCTAAAAACCTTCTCAATTAATTAAGTTTTATAATGCTTCTCAGAGCCCCCTTGTTCTGAGGGTTTTTCTTGCCAGCTTCTCATTGCAAAGTCCTGCTCTGCCTGTGCTTACATGAGGCAGTGTCACATCAGCGCCGTGCAGTAGGGTGTGAAAAGACACTTCAAATTAAAAAGAAGGTAAAGCCATCAAATTTTTACATGGAATAAAAGGCAATACATTCTGATGTTTACAATGGAGACAGAAAAGACAGTTACAGTTTTTGTGTGGGGAAAAAAGAGGCAAAACCTTTGTACATTTTACATGGAGAATACTGACATGCACATGTTTTTTACCCATGCTGTTGGTCAGATTTTGGAGAAGAGCATTTGAAGCTGCATCTTCTAGCTTTGCTCCCTGTTCTCTGCTGAACTAGTTACAAAAATTACTGTTTTGACTGCCTAGATTTTCTATATTGATTAGGAGTTTCAAAGAGCCATTAGGGGGTTTTGTTTAGCACATTTATTTTTGAGTGCTGGCTATAGTTAGATTGTTAATTATATATTCCAAGTCCTGGTATTTGTGGCTCTGTCTACAGTCTCCTTGGTTTTTTTCCCCTTTCTCAGAGATTTTGAGAGAAGTCTCTTAGCACAAAGCTAGTGTGATGAACTTGTAAGTTTTCAGGAGGCTCATTTGTCTCTCTGCTTGCTAGAAAGAATTGACAGGGATCATGTGTTTTAAGAAATATCAGGGTGTTGTTTTGCCCCCATGGCAGCCAACCAACTCGTTAATATTTGCCAGCTAATAGGATTAGAAATGCTTCTGTATGAATGGGTTACACTTGCCAGACACGTCTGGGACCGAATCCAATTCCTGATAATTTTTGCTGTTTATTTCAGCAGGAAACAAAGCAACTTCTTAACCCCATTAAATAGGGGTGTGTGTGTGTGTGTGTGTGTGAGAATGAGCAGTGCAAGCTGTTCATAGGGAGCACTTGATTAAATATCCCTTGGCTTGTGCTCCTCTGGGGCATTCAGGTTCAGCATAGCTTTAATGTTTTTTTTTGTGGCTTTTTCAGAGGGTTCACATTATTTGGGCACCCTGGGATAGTGGAAGGTGTCCCTGTCTTGGCAGGGGGTGGAACAAGACGAGCTTTAAGGTCCCTTCTAATCTAAACCATTCTGGGATCCTCTGATAGTAAACAAAAAAACAAAACAAAACACCCCAAAAAAAAAAAGGAAATAAATAAAATTCACCTGAGGATGTTCCAGCCCACAGACTTTTCTTACTTACTGGGTTTTGGTTTTGACACCAGTTCCTGGTTTGGCCTGCTTTGTTTGCAAGCTTTTTTTAAAATCTGTTTGGTTTCTGTGTTTTGCCTTGCTGCGATGTAGATCTACCTTTTGGAGGAAGAAATTGGAAATGGTATTGAAGAGCCTCTTACTCTTTTGTTGAATACACTTTAGAAATTAAATTTCTAATTTGTCCCCTGCAAGCAGCTACTGAACTTAGTGGTCATCTGTTACGATTCTTCTGTGATAACTCATTTCCCATTTTCTTCACAGCTGAGTGGTAAAATAATTCAACTTGAATGATTATTGTTATTATGAAAATGCTACTTTATTCTCAAGTTAAATCCAAATACCTCATTTCCAACGCTTCATTACAGCTGATAAGCTCACTATTGATTGCAACAGAGATGGAATCATAGAATCACTTGGGTTGGAAAAGACCCTTAAGATCATCAACTCCATTGGTTCATATTTTGTAAGAGGAAAGCTGAGTAAAGTGAAAGCCAAAATCCTCCTTCACATTCTGCTATTTTAGAGGCTGTTTTTTAACCTTCAACCATGTCACACTGCGGTTTAATCTTTCATACTGTTGGGAAGTAAAACCTGAATTTCAGGCTGAAATAAAAAAGAGGAGTTCCATGTTTCAAAGGTTTAGTTTAATAATGTGTCCAACGATGGAAGATAATAAATATTTCTTATTTTTTGGTATTTTGAATAGTTGAACAAGAGAATTGCATTAAAATAATTAGATAAATGCTAATAAGAACCATTGTGCTTCATATTCCCAATTAAGAATTAGAGATATTTCCCCCCCTGCTTATCAGAACAAATTCTATCAATGACATTGAAAATTATTATTTTAATACTTCTTGTCAGCACAGTATTGTAATGACTGTGTACTGCCCCAGGATGCCTTTTTAATGGTTTTAGCCTTCTTGAATTAGCTTGATGTACCATTAATGCATGAGAATTGCGGGTTTTTTTTCTGTTCACAGTGTATTCATAACTACACATCTTGCCCTGCTTTATGTTTGCATTTTCCCTGATCCTTTTAGCTGTAGGCCATGCGAGTCTCTGACATCACAAAGGAACAAACATTCAAACATTTAAGAGAATAAAATTTTACTATCACAGGGTGTGAAACAAAAGGGTTTGAATCTAACTTGGGTTCAGAGTTGAATCTTTCTCTGTTGCTTAGCAGTTCAACCAAGGGTGTTTTACCTCATCTAGATCACTGTAACACCCAGATTTTGATCTAATACAGCCCAAAACAACAATAAACCAGGGAATATTGAGGCAGGAGTTGAGGTGGCAGAGGCCACTGCTGCCTCACAGTTTGCACTTTGCTCTGGTGCTGTGCTGCTGCCAGTATTTTTGGATGCTTTTATTTGAAAATTAACTAGTCTTTTATTAAGGAATGTGTCTGCTCTGTGTAAAAAAAATCTACCAGAAGTATTTTATTTCCAGACCCAAATAGTATTTCCCGTGTGGTGTTGAACAAAGGTGTGTTAAAAGAACTTCAGAGCACCATTTCTCTGTTAAGGGACGGGAGATGACAGATTAATCCTGGTGCAGCTGCCTTGAGGGGAAGGGCTGTCACTTGCCATCAGCATTATCAAGTCAGTTTTTATAGATGTGTTTTCATTAGGAAATGTTAATCAGCCTAATGGGAAGTAAGTAAAAGGGAAGTAAATGGGTCCCATCCTGACAGCTGTTTTGGGAAGAAGCGACATTCACTCTGGATGTGGCCTGAGGGATTCTCTGCTCGAGGAGCTGGGCTGGTGGAGGACCCCAGCGCAGGGCAGGAGGAGGCAGAGGTTCCTTCGGTTCCTTGGGCTTTGGGAATTCCTTGGAATTCCTTGGAATTCCTTGGAATTCCTTGTGTTTGGGCTGAGGCCTCCAGAAATGTGGCATCTGCAGTGATGGCCTTCAGGATGGTCACACATGGCCTGGATCAGACTGCTGACTCTTCGACAGGCCCCTAGCTTCAAAACCGCTGGGAAATCAATGTTTTTGCTGGTTAGATATTTCTATCTTTCTGATTTTGTTTGGTTTGGGTTTTTCTGATGAGAAAGTGACATGAGGGAGTAAATTTCTTCGACATCACAGCTTAGCCTGGAGCAACAAACGCTCAGGCCGTGTTCATTTTAACCCCCCGTTCATTTGAAGTCGTTTCGGTTTTAAGTTCGTTGCAAGAACGTTGGTTTTAACGTTAAATTAACGTTTTGATTTTATTAATCCACGTTCCGTTTGGGGAATTAGGGAGCGCGGCGGGAGCGGCCGCCGGGGGGCGCCAGAGCCGCGCCGCGAGGGGCCGCGCAAAACGCTCCGGCCAGCCAAAGCCGGCTGGAAAATAACACACAGAACCGCAAAAATCTGGTTATCCTCGGATTGTGGGTTGTTCCTGTTTGTAGTTTATCCTGAACTTACTTCAGCTTCACCCGCGCTCATGCTTCACCCTTACACTTAGCTTTACCGTTCCTGCCTGCCTAAATAAAGTAACTCTTATGAGCCATTAATAAATGAGAAGATTTCGTTTGGAAACGAGCATTTCACGCCACCGTTCTTTGAGGTTTTTTTGGTGGCTGTTTTTGTTTGCACAGGCGTTTCTTCTGGTTTCCGGGTAACTTCTCAGCCCTGTTGGCGCAGATGACAAGATCTGGTACGTTGTTGCAGGAAGGGAATTAACCAATATCCGAAATTTATATAAATAGGCTTGAAATGAGCTGTGTGAATTGAGCAGTGCCTGGTGAAACAGGTGTGAAGAAGCCTTCGTCCTGGGAAGCAGCTGGCATCAGTAGGATTGGGCTGGAAAGTTGATGCAAATCCCTGGATGTATATTTTCTGACCGATTACCAGATTTCACACTTTACACATCACTGTTCAAAATTCTTTTTCTG